TATATAAGTAGTGGTTGTTTGTACTATACTCCTTCCGTCCCAAAATAAGTGACATTTTTTACATTTAGACATTTTATTTGATTGTTCGTCTTATTCAATTTTTTTTTATAAATATTATCTATTTTGTTATGACATATTTTATCATTAGAGAAACTTTAATAATGAGTTATTTATTTTATAATTTACATAAAATTTTAAATAAAACGAACGGTCAAACATGATGTCTGAAAATAAAAAACATTACTTATTTTGGGACGGAGGGAGCATATATTAGAGAGTATATAGCTTTGTGTGTGTGGTTTTGGTGATAAATAAATATCTCATATGTTAAAAAGTGAGAGTGCTTGAGGTTGCCCCATGGTTTCCATAGAGATGACTATGTTTTTAGTTATACCATAAATTAAAATTATTTTCTCTATATTGATTAATTTAATTTTTCCAATGTCCATGTAAATTTTATTTGTCGCATACGTGTGTATATATACACACAAACTTCTTTATTTTGTTCGTATTTGCTTATTTATTTCATTTCGCACGTGTGGTTTTGAAATTTTGTTTTTCTTTATCAATAAATTATATATCTTCACGTAACTTATTGGCAACTTAGCGAGCTAAGATGGTGCATGAAGAATTGAAGTAGATGAGACGTTTGGACATTTGGATTATTATTTTCTCGAGTTTTTAAGAGAAACTATAGCATTTAGAAAAATTATGTGGTATCTATCAAATACTTACTCCCTCATCTCAAAATAAATCAACTCCTAAAATTATCCTAAGTAGTCAAACTATTTTGAGTTTAATTAACTTTATAGTGAAGAATATAACTATAGTTATGACACCAAATAAATAGATTATGAAAATATTTCATGGTATACCTAGTGATGCTAATTTGATGCTATAAATATTATTGTTCTTTTCTATAAATTTAACCAAATATAAAATATGTGACTTAAGATAACTTTAGAAATTGATTTATTTTGAGGCGGAGGGAGCATCTTTCTAGGAAGAGCTGTTTAGATGGTGCATCAGGTTTTTTGTTTTTGAAAAACCGTGTTTTTTTCTCCAACAGTATATATGATCATATGTATTCTAATTCTTCTTGCCTTCGTCCATGTGCCAAAAGCAAAGCTGTTTCAATTTCTCTAGCTTTCGTCGACCACCACGTACACTATAACAACACCCTACATCTTTTTCTCTCTTAATTTAGGCAATCTTTCCGCTCTTGGAGTGCTTCCAAAGCGCATGCGTGAGTAGTAATATAAATAATAAATTAAATCGGCACACACAGTAGTATATATATTCGCCTGATGAAATATGTGAGCTGGAAATTGGCTGTATTCAACGACATGCAACAATTTGCTTAGCTGGTCTTAATTAAAAAGACGCTAGCCCATTTTATGGTTATAATGTTGCTCTCAACAATGGCTGCATGTTAGCGGTCTCTTTTGGATGCACACTAATGGCTATGGTTAGTGGACGACTATTGTTTGTTGCATTTAAAAATTTCATTATCTTTAATACAAATGTTTGTATTATTGTATATATTGTCTAAAAACATAAACTACCTACGCATGTACTCCATCCATTCCAAATTATAAGTCGCTTTGACTTTTTCTGGTACATCAATTTCACTATGTAGATGCATAGCAAAATTGATTAATCGAAAAAGTCAAAGCGACTTATAATAAATGCATAGCAAAATGGATGTACCAAAAAAGTCAAATCGAATTTTAATTTGGAACAGAGGGAGTACGTAAAAGAAAGTGCTTTTTTATTTCCATGAATTTTCTTTTGAAGGAAAGAAACTAATTAAATTCAATATATTGAGTTTCCACAATATTCTTGTGAAAAAAACTCGAATTCCTTCTATTATCAAAACATGAGTACCCTAATTAACTTGCCTCCAACAATGTATATGTAGTCTATCACATAAGGATGCATGTACCATTATTTGTAATAATTTGTAACAAAACTAAAGAAGAGATTCATGCATGTAATAATTTTACAGTTGCATGCGCTAACCTGATCGGCTGTGCTACTTGAGTTTGCACATATTTAAGCTGGTGAGTAGTAGCACGCAGCAGCTGCTGCAGCGCAAATAGCACAAGCAATCGCAGTCATACATCCTTGCGGAAACACATAAACTTGGTCAACTTTAGAAAAAATTGATTTAAGATAAAAACTAAAACACTTTGTGTTTTGAAATCAAGGAATATATGTCTCACGGTTGAACGTACATAAAGTATGCTTGATTTTCGAATTTTATTAAAATGGCCTTCGCTAGAGTTGCTGTCGATGAAATATGGTTGATAATCCACCGAGGGGTACACCCACGATGGTAGATTGTGTGGTGAAGATGTGCGTGATCAGGAACCGAATGGTGACACAGGCGCAGAGACACGAGGTTTAGACAGGTCCAGCTCGTCATTACGACGTAAACCCTATGTCATGTGTTCTGGTGGATTGTATTGATTGTGAATGAGATGAGATGAGTTTGAGGGGGTCCCCGTACACAACCAGAATTTTAATTTCTCCTAGTGTGGTGGGCTTCTCCTAGTGTTTTAGCATTTAAAATTTAGTATAAATTTTCCCTGCTAAATGTCTCCTAGTGAGATTCTCATATGCTATGACTAGTGGTAATATTTTATTACTATTTAAAAACACTAGGAGAAGTCCACCATTTTGGTAGTGCTACCCGCCTTATATAGACGAGGGATAGGGTTACAAATCGGTTAGGTCTAAATCTACTCGGGTAAATGATAAGCATTACATGGAATACAACATCTCGTATATCCGAATAGATCTATCTCTATCTTCAAGATATCTTCTAAAAGTCTTACGGTGCACGTCGACCAGTGTAGTGCGCCGCGCGCCTTGATCTTGTAGGCTGGATCACCCCTGATGGTACGGCTCATGTCTCATCCTGCAGGTATCTGGGGTTATACCCCCGATAGTTGCTTGATTCCACATCATTTCCAATTTTCCTTGGTGTAGAGCATATCTCACAAACTAATTCAAATTTCCATAAAAGTTTTTGTTAAGTACAATACCAAATAGGCTATCATGCTCTCACATTTCAGTTTTAAATTTGATACACAAAACTAGAGCAAAACTCTTCTTCAAAGTTAAATTAATTCAGAATTTAAAAAATCAAGATATGTTCTTTGGCATTTAATTAGTTGACTTTTTTCTCCTTGTCTGCTGCAATTCTTGGAATTTCCAATTTGCGCCACAGTAAATCATCACCACAATAAGCAAAACATAAACTTGTCTAGAATTACCAAGTATGTCATCGTAGGTATAGAACAAAGCTATATAAAAGGTTTCACATAGTGATACTAGCTAGCAAGATATAGCCAAGAACAAGTTTAGGCGAAGAGAAAAGAAAAAACAAATTCGATGGATTGGCCACTCAAATGTAAGAAAATAGCTTGGGCCAGCGCAGGGCCCATTCAGTTTGTCAACCCATAGAATGGGTTAAATTTGTAACTTACAAGCCTGTCTCCTGAAATCTGGTACATAAAACAAACACTACCCATCACTATCACAAATACAACCTCTTTATTAACAGATGCGAGCATATCTAGGGATGACCTTCGAAAATAGTCAAGTGCACTCCAGATAAATACCCACCTCTAAAAATCTTAAGGACAACACCACGAGGGGTCCTACTTAAGTCCTCATAGTTAAAAATGAGTGCCAAGATAAAAAAAACAAAGCTTCAGCAGGGCTCATATTATAGTCTCCGAATTTGGATGAGCACCTAAATTCACCCTCTAACCCTAAACCCTAAACCCATTCCTGTGCCAGAACGGGGGCTCACCACTTGGCCCCCGTCCGGTCGTTGGCCTCCACCGCCTCCTCTCCCCTTCGTCTCCGACGAGCGCACCCCCTCCCCTCCGTCTCCGGCGAACGCGCCACCCTCCCCTCCGGGCTCCAGCGAGCGTGGCCGCCCGCGGGGCCCTTCTCCTCCAGCCGCGGGAGCCCCTGCTGCTGTTGCGCGGGCACGCTGCATGCCGACGCGCGAGACTCTGCTCCGCCGTGCGGTCGCGCAGCCCCGCGCTGCCCCCTGCGCCCCTGCTCCGCTGCGCAGGCGCGCCGTCCCTCGTGGTGCGATCACGCTGTCCCCCGCCGCACGAGCCCCTGCTCCATCATGCGGGCGCGCCGCCCCTCGCCGCAGACCTGTACAGAGGAAGCTCCAGTCGACGCAGACCTGTACAAAGGACTTGCGAGCTCGCTATACAGAGGAAGAAGAAAGATGAAGAGGAGACGATTCGCTCGTTGGTTTCAGCCAGAGCTTATCAGCCATGATACATTATTTTTCTCTCACAATAAACCATGTGTTTTTCTCTCACAACAAACCATCATCAACTGGACTTATCAGCCCAAAAATTAACCAGCGAACAAGTTAAATGATGAGCAGGTCTCATCTGTCATTCTCTGAGTGTAATAGATTTGGAGGCCTCAATTTGAGAGGTGCTGTTGGAGTAGACACAAAAAACTGAGCTAACAAGAGTTGGGAGCAACACCTAAATCAAAAGTAGGGGCCCTGATTTGAGTGCCACTGCTAGCGTTGCTCAAAGACAACCGCCTCTGTTAATCATCAATTCACAAAGGCAGCCATCTAAGGACGTCTATATCTGTAAATCAATTTTCAGAGGCGAGCATATTTAAGATACCCCGTCTCTGAAAACCACTATTGACAGAGGCGGCAATTCAAAGTTCCATCTCTAAAAATAGTTGCATTAAAATAACTAATCCATATGAACTTGGATGAGACAAATTTTATATTAAAATTGTAAAGAAATACATCATATTAGCAGTACTCTAATAAATAATACATCCCGAATAGCAATGGGGATACACTTTGGAGATTATGGTAGTCAACCGTTACAACGAACTGATCGGGCAAGAATGCCAGCATGCCCATTCATTCCACATGATCCCTGTATAATATCTAGTTCCACTTGGACACTTCGTACAAGTTGGCCTAATCCAATCTACTCCTCTCTTGTCGAAGGAGCCATTCCTGCTGAAGGGCTGTCTGCGAAGTACTCCGGGTGTTTCAAGTTCACACCATGCTGCAGAGAGAAGTCTCATGTGAGTATCAGGGTATATAAGATCACAAATGGAGCAAAAGCTAATGTGGTGGAAAGTAGTCCAGTGACCATGACCAGTAGTTACTATGAAATAAATGGAATATGACTTAACGGAGCCGAAGTTCCTAAGCCTAAACAGGATAAAGATTTCACGAATTAGGTTACATTTATCAGTTACTCCATTCTTCCAACAATGATGCCATGAGATGTTTTTGAGTATTAAGGAATCTGGAATTTACTGGAGCTTCAAATTAGAGGTACTACAGAAGCACACCTTCAAAAAATCAGGATTTTCACCAAATCTATTTTCTAGAAGGATGTCTGGATGGTGGACGCTGAAGAATTTCTCTATCAACATCATGAACTTTGTATTTGAAATAAAGCACAAAAACAATGCCTTTGTGCAAGGTTTGGATATAACAGACTTATTTTGGAATATAAGAAAGAACAAAAACACCATCATCATGCTTAATAGAACTGGTATGGTACTAAATATACATTGATTGATTACTAAAGGTCAACCGGAAAAGATAATTTGCTGTGGACTGAAGATATACCACAGTTTTCAACAGCCTTAAGAGTTGTGCTAATCAGACTGCAAGATTTAGGCAGGAGAAAGGAAATTCCATGTTCCTGCAGGGATTGTACTGTTTTTTAGTGAAATTCCTAGGTTCTAGATTCCAGAAGTGCTTACTTCTATGCATATAGTGGTCTTCTTGTCGATGATTTTGCATAAACCTTTAAACCTATAAAGGGGTATTGTCACTAAGAAGGTCAGAATATGCAATGTTGGATTGGCAATTTGAAATTTGATTAGCTGCTCCATTCATTTGCTGATTGCCATATCCACTATTACACATTTAATTTAATGGGAGGTGAACTGTGACTTCAGATTTTAGCAACATCCAGATCCCACTTTTCTTTCCTACGACAATGACAGTAAGGTTGACAGTTATAGTTTAATACAGGCAAAGAAAACCACACTAGTCTGATCTCTATATGGCCTTGCATATTTAGGTCCATGCACAATATCAATAACAGAAGATGGTGTGTACCTTACTCTTGCAAAAGATACAGGTCATATGGGCACTGGCGCACTGCCGCTGGGTTGCTGGAATTGATCATATCTAGTCTAAAGGAACTCAATCATCATAAGATCTCCAACTATGCGGCACGTGATATTTGCTTAAATATCTATCCTGCATCGTTAAGTTTTTGTTCGTGTGCGCTGTTCTTAACTGCCGCTAACAGTTGGTTTTCCTCATGAATTTTTGGAAAATTGTGAGGAGCACAAACTGGATCTACATAACTGTTTAAGTTAAAGAAAATAGTGGGGAGATTCAATTTCAAGTCCTGACAAAACAGATTGCTGTAGTGTCCAAACCAAATAATGCGATCCTGACCGATTTCTCTCTCAAGAATACAGATCTGCCCAACTGGTTGGAATACAGAAGATAGTAAATGGTAAGCTGCTGCCAACAAAAAAAGTAAAAGTGCAAACTGCAGATTTAAATGGAAACATGGTTACCTCACGCAAAGCTTTAGAAAGATCATCCATGGTTAATACAAGACGTTTATCCTGAAAATAACATTTTTATAAAATGTGATAAGTAAGCAGTAAGGATACTAAACAAGATTTAACGCCAGGAACATGAAAAGTTCAACTGGTGAGTAAATACACCTTAGGCTGTTTGCTCTTATTGTCTTTGATAGGTGCTGCTACCCTGGCCTTGCAGTGCCTAGTTCAAGGGAAAGAATAATGTAATAGCAAAATTAGTGCACACAACTACAGTGTGTATAATGCATGTTGCTAAGAAAATCTTAAAATAGTTTGCTATGCTATATAGTGAAGAGCAATGTTTTCTGATCGTCCGATTAATCATGATTAATCGTCCTTATCGGTACTTAGCACTTGATTAGGCCCTCCGATTCGATCAAAGCGATCAGAAACCTTATCGTCCGATTAATCGTCGATTAATCGCGATTAATCGTCCGATTAGGTCTCTTTGCCGATCAGCACTTAGGATGACATATATGAATATATAGTATATGGTATATAAATATATAGTATATGGTATATTATATAGTATATGGTATATTATATATGTACCATACATATATATATATAGTATATGGTATATAGTATATGGTATATGCTCGATGTCTACTATATAAATAGTAATGCTCGATGTCTACTTTATAGTATATGGTATATGCTCGATGTCTACTATGGTATATAAATATATATATGAATATATAGTAATGCTCGATGTCTACTATATAAATATATAGTATATGGTATATTATATATATACCATACATATATGATATATACTTATATAGTCCTGCTATATGCTGGACGATTATATGGACGATTAGACCGATCAGAGGTCGATTAATCGTCCTGATCGTCGATTAATCGTCCTGATCGTCCTAATCGGTACCAGACCGATTAGGAATGATAAGCCGATCAGAAAACATTGGTGAAGAGTAGAGTGTGTCATACACTGACAAAAAAAATCCACACAAAATAAGCAAACTTACGCAATATAATCCAAAAGAGCCCACCCTCCCCTCACAATGAATCTGTTTTCCCACAGGATTAGTAAATTGATGTGATACATGAGCCTATCATGATGATTGATCAGACATCCTTTAGTTAATTAGGTATGCTTTTAGTTGGTAACTCATGATGATGATACCAAAAAAATTCTAATTGGCCTGTTTTCTAATTTCAGTATGCTTTAGTTATTCATCACTTGATTAGCCAGGCCACATAAAGAATGAGCTCAATTGGTAATATAGTTACAGAATCTCCACAAAATTAGGCATACACTTTGTAAATGTATCTTGTATATTTTAAAAAACTTTGAAGAAGACAATTGCATGTTACGTTGTTACCCCCTTTGGATTTCCATTAAAAAAGCCAAGCCTCAGCTGCTATATAACCTGTTTATAAAAGTAACTTGACTATGCAAAAATAAGGGGGGGGGGGATTATTAATATTTCTTAAATTTGCACGTTGTATGATATAACACGAAACTCTAAGGAGTCACACTGAACTAAATGCTATTATACACTATTTGTAGCTTTAGAACTTGCCAACCTGCGCCCTGCACGAGACAACCTAGCTTTAAAATGAGGATAGGTCTCACAAATTGAGTAGTATAGGCACATCCATTATGTATCAGAACATAATCCTTTAACAAAAATGAATTCCTTTAATGAACAAGAACCCTGGGATGGAGTCAGTGGATGCAGAGGGATCATACTATATATTTTGACAATGAAGACGGGGTATATTCTTTTCTACCAAGAAATATCAACCGGACTAATCCATCACTATGGTGGCATGGTAAACTTTGCGAGAGCAGCAGAGAGCGAACAATGTTTCAGCAAGTGGGAAGGTGATTGAGTTACAACCGGCATAAATGCAAGTAAGTGATAACTAGGATCATAACATATTCTGAATGGAACAGTAGAAACATGAAATGTTGTAACAATAGGAAAACGTTTGTCATCATTCCGATATTATTACATTGACTGTGGATACGTGGTTCTTAAGGCAGTAAGGTGAGACCTACATCTGTCCCTCGTGTCAGTGCTCCTTCCCTCAGTCTATGTACCATGGATACAGACTTACGGATACACAGATAGGTCATTTTTCCAAATCTCAGTACAGGGATATGTTTTAATATTTTTTGAAAAGTAAATAATGGGCCTGCTTGGTTGGCTTCCAATTTTTTCCCAACCAAAATCATGCCAAGCCAAAATTTTTAGTCATCAATTGGTTCATTGCCAAAGAATAAAGGGCGTACCCAGTGCAGAGAGCTCCCGCTCTGTGCGGGGTCTGGGGAAGGGTGTCAGTGGCAAGCCTTACCCTCGCCTATGCAATGCGAGAAGACCGCGACTCGAACCCGGGACCTTCCGGTCACAGGCGGTAAGACTCTACCGCTTGCACCAGGCCCGCCCTTCGTTCATTGCCAAAGAATATGGCACATAAAATATGTAATAAGATATATATAATAGAGAATAAGAGGTAAATACAAGCACTGATGGGCCACAATAACTATTAGCAGCCAGCCCACTAACTCATTAGAGCCCAATTCAACCAACAGCTCATAAAGCAAAACCCTACCCTCTCCCCTCAATCTGTAATCTACCGATTCCTCACTGGATGCCGTTTCCATCAGTCCTTCCCGATGCTACCGCGTTGGAGCAACGACGAGCCTGGCTGCTCCAAGAGCACGCCTCCCAGATTGAGGGCCAATGCCACCCCTTTTGAAATTGAGCTCTACTCATATGCAGATTGTGTACTGGTGCTGCCTCCTTCAGATCGAGCTATACAGTTGACCGGTGAAGAGCTGCGATGACCACAGGCGCCAGAGCCAACGGAGATGAGAGTGAGGGCAGTTGCAGGTGCAGCCTTGCCTGGTTCTCTTCATGCTCTTCCTTTCATTAGTCTCTCCCTCCCTTCACGGTATCAATGGCTCCCTGCGCATATACATGGTAACCCCCACGTATCAATGGAGCATAGCTCCCTCTCCCTCTCTCTCCAGATGCGTCACCACTGCCACTGCCTGAAACTTCTCCTTCCTCCCACTTCTTTTCCCTTTCCTCACTGGTCTGCGCTCTCAAATCGACCACTGCTTCCATCCCCTTCCAGATTGACTGTGCCACGGCTGACTGGAGCAAGTTCTGTGCCAGCCACCGGTGCCGGAGCCAGCAGGGATGGCAGCAGCTCGGGTTCTTGGCCTTGATGGTCCCCTCCCCTCCCCTCCCATTCTTCTTCGGTTCTCCTTCCCTCCCTCTCTATTTGATCATGGCGACAGGCTACGTTACCCCGATACTCCAATATAGGGACGTATCCCGTATCCGATACGTATCCGTATCGGATACGGCTTGGATACGCGTTGGATACGTATCCACGGAGTATCCGTAAAAAAATAAATCCACAATAATTCAGATACTCTTCATGGATACGCTAACCTTGTGTGATATGTTGGTCCAATACAGCCAAGCCCATCAATAGCTAGTTGGATAACTCCAGACTCCCTTGTGCGGACGTGCCTGCTGCCTCTTCTCCACTAAGGCTCTAACCCTACACAGCCGCGACAACATGCCCGCACGCAAGAGCTCCTCCACGGTCGAGCGGCAAGGAGGTCCTCTGCTTCACCGCTGGTCCTGTGGAGGCTAGGCCAGTGAAGGGAGCTAAGACCACCACATCTCTTGCTGGTCATGGGTAGCAGTTAGGTTACCTTAGTGAGCTTTCCCATTTTCCCTTTCTCTAATCCCCTTTTTGTTTAATTTCTCTCCGGATCTTGATATTATATAGATGCAGCATTGTGATATACCTGAATAATTTAATCCTCCCTCAAGTTGACTAGTTCTACTTCTGCACTAAACACCTGTACATTCTTAATTGGATTTTGAGGAGCGGATGGAGATGCTTGGCAAGCTTCTGTTGGAATGTTGGCTAGATGGAAATACACAAAACATGAGCATGAGCAGAACAACACAATTGCAAGCCTTGGCTGCTACTGCTTTTAGAATTTTTAATATGCTTTAGTCTTATTTATTTATTTATTAAAAATACTAAAACGTATCCACGTATCGGGTTTTTTCTGAGAATGCCGTATCCACGTATCCATATCCGTGCTGCGGCGACAGGGACGCCTAGATTTCCAGCAAGCCTTATCGCCTAAGCGACACCTTAAAAAAACATGTGTTCGACGAATAATTTCACAAGTACATGCAATTACGGAGGGATTTTGATTGAAGCCTAATAAACTTGCCGAACCAAACAAAAATATGGAATTGCGTATTGCACAGAAGATTTGCATTCATGTGGAAGAAAAGAATGATAATGTTTAATTCTTGATATGCTATCAATGAAATTAAGAAGGGAATCCTTTTACTTTGTAATAACGAGACTATGAATTTACTCACTGAAGAGAATCGCTAGCAATGTCTGATAGGAACTTCTGGGTGGCTACAGCAACCAGTCTCGTTCTGTAAAACACGAAATCAGATTATGTGTGCAAGAAATCAAGCAATTTGTGTTTTTAAGTTTTAATCCATGGCACTGATCAGATCTCAGCTTACTACTATCCATCAGGAAGAGAGATTGGAAAGAGGACGAGCACTCACAGGCGAAGGTCGGGGCAGTGGAACCCGCTGCGGCCGAGGTAGTGCTCCACCAGCTCGTCGGGAATCTTCCGCACCACCGAACCAAGCATCAGGGCTAAACCGCTGACAGAAAAGTAGAGAAGGCAAGAGGGAAGTGGCGGCACCATACCGTGGGGGTGTAGTCCATGAGGGATGAGAGGAACTCGGTGAGCGCAGCCTCGTCGTCGTGCCGTCCGTCCCCGCCTCCACCCACTCCCGGACCCATGCCCCCGCCAGGGCCTCCTGCGCCGCCGCCGCTGCTCATCATCCTGGACCTCACTCCCTGCCGCCTCACTGCCCCCACCACGGAAGGATGGGGCGCACGGCGAAGGGTGGAGCGCACAGCGCTGGGAGAGGCGGGGCACGACGTGAATTCGAGCTGGCGAGGGCGAATTGACGATCCGGTGGCGCCGGCGTCGTGTCAACGTCGGGGGAGGCGGCGGAGGGGCGGATGCGCTGGGCAGCGCGCCCTCACCTTTATGTTGCGAATTCAGCCCCCTGGCCGAGGGCACAGCCTTCAAGAGTCTTGCAGGCCTACCCCAATTCGGTGAATTCGGCTCGGCCCAATAGGTCCATGCGAATTCAGCCCACCAACGCTTTCCTTCTTCCTGCCTCCACTCCAGTACTCCACGCAAATATGTTGCAAATTCACCTCAACTCGTGGTCGGCGGTGGGGCGGCGCCTCTTCTTCTCCCCTCTGCTCTGGAGCGGGATGGCGTCCGGCGGAGGAGACCCTCCACCGGTTTTGTCGGCATGCCCTAGCTCGCTCTGCTTCCTCTCTCCCCTCTGCTCTGGAGCGGGATGGCGTCCGGCGGAGGAGACCCTCCACCGGTTTTGTCGGCATGCCCTAGCTCGCTCTGCTTCCTCTCTCTGAACTATGGAACGTTCGAATCAAATGCGAGCTCTGGAATCGATTGCTGGGGTGCCTAATCTAAATCCACTAGAAAACTGGGCCAGAGCACAATTTATGTAACACCCCAGGCCCGGCACACGGGCCAAGCCCACTCTACCCGAGGGGTAGGCTCCACCTACGTAGCAACATGCTTACGCTTTCGTCCTCGCTTCGCGCAAAACGGTTAACTGAAGGTACTACGCGTCATTGGTCTGGCTATTTAAGCTGATCCGGCGAACTCAGAATCCACCGTATGGTACTAAACTTCTGGTTGCACAGTGTTTTCCGCAGCCACAGTAAGTCGTCGCTACGGTAACCCCGAATTCAGCCCATCCTAATTCAGCGATATAGCTAGAGTAGCCTGGCCCAACCGCAATTCGGCCCATGAGCTGGATCTCACAATTTACTCCTATGTGTATGAAGGTGAGCAGCGCATCGAACACCTCTGGCTCCATGTCTTCTATGCGTATGGCGTTGGTGGTGGTCTCTCTTTCATCGGACCATAGAGCTCCGCTTTGAACACCGGCAACCGTGTCGAGAGAAGCCGATGAGCAGAGAATGTCTTCTTGCCAACTCGGAATTTGACATCGGCGTCCTCCGTGCTCAGCAGGAGATTACCATAGTGCCGGTGCATGTCGGACGGCGGCACGTCCACTGACGGTGTTCCCACGGTTTGGATGTCCCTCATGATGGTCACATCGAACCTGACGATGAAGGAGTCATCCCTGAGATGCTCAGATTTCTCCAGAGCTTTCCTCTCGATGAACTTTGGGTATCCCCAGCTCCCTTTGTCAATGAAGTCCATGAATCCGGTGACTTTGGTGTAGGATGGCACCGGCTTCTCGTCCTGGTCGAGTAAGCTGATGGTGACCTGCGCCTTCATAGCTTTGCCGGTTACTGCACAATGGATGGCGATAAACAACGATATGAAATCGACGCTGTCGGCGGCGCTTCCATTGGGGTCATTATACTCCACAAACCAGGTGTGCCCTCCCAGGCGGAAGTGCCTGGAGTCGATGCGCTGGCCATTGGAGACCTCTTTGGTGCGGGAGTAGGACACGATCTTAAGCACGTGGGAGCAGGTCATAGCGTCGGTGACGATGACAGAGGCGGAGTGCGAGCCATCGCCGCTCCCACTGTAGCCAGCGGCTAGAGAGGGCAAGGATCCCGGCATGGAAGGGGGTGTGGCGGCTTCACACTGGGACGAGGCCGGTGCCAGTGTCGGTGCCGAGTAGCCGAGGAGAACACACAACCTGGAGGGGATCGAATACTCTGGAAACGCTAGGTACACGGTAACGGACTAACGGTGAACATCGGATCAAAATCGGACGGATCAGAAACTAACTGGACACGTGGCCCAATGAGTGACCAGAGTGGATGGGCAGGATTCGTATAGTAAAAGATTTGCCCACGGGTTCAACTCGACGGCTCGCCTCGCTCTTCTTCTCCACTGGCTCCACGAGCCTCGGCACTATACCGATCCCACGGGAACACTATACCGATCCGACGAGCCTTCTGAAACCATTCGGTCTACTGCTAGTGAATTTGGGACGACATGTTGTCTCTTTGGTTCCGTGCTTGTGTTAATAATAACATGTTCTCTACATCCAATTTTGTTGGAGGTCCACGTGATAAAATCTCTTCCTTCTTGTGTCCCGGTGCTCTGATAAGTGGTAGAACCATTTATTTTGGATTCATACAAGTACTGAATTGAGCTAGACAGCCACATGCATTTGTTATTGTTCATGCTACTGACCTGAACTGTGCTATACTGTAATTTGAACTCATAACAAACTATCATCAGTACCACCAATTTTTGACTGTTCACTGTTCCTCTGTAAACCTATTGTACTGTGTAAACCTTGATCATGTGTCAGTTATATGGATATATGGAGGATTTATGTTTAGGATGCCCCCCTACATGAGAATATAGGGGCTTCAATTTAAGAGGTCCCTTAGATGCTCAAACTATGACGGGAATTGACATTTCTAGGACTCTAAACTAGCAGTCGTAACATATTTGCTTGAGTTGTCATTACACCTCCTGTCCACAGACAGTGTAAAGTAATCTGCTGCTCTCCCATCTCTATACGCGCGGTAGGGGCAGGCGCCGAAAGGGCTCCCCTGCTGCTGCACTGTAGCCGCGGCAGGGGCAGGCGCTGAAAGGCTCCCCTGCCGCACTGTAGCCACAGCAGGGGTAGGAGTCAAAGTCAGCCCTACTGTCACATCTAGTCACTGTAGCAGCCTGGCATGTCTGTGTACTTGGATTAGATGGGTAGAGTTGTATATATAGCTTCGCACTGCAACTTAGTAAAGTGAGCGAGTTTGGTTTTACCATCTCCTCTGCAGAGCTTTGGCCAACGCTGGTGCTTGTGCTGTGTGTGTGCGCGCACTCTGTTCTCCCTCCCTCTTCTACCTCTAGCCATAGTGTCTGTGCGAGAACGCCAGTGATCGGTCGGCTCACCCGTGCCAGAGATCCCGGGCCCAACAGATAGGACATGGAGTTGAATTTCTATGACTGAATTGAGCACTGTTGTGAACGCAGGCAGTGGAGCATGCATGATGAGCACTTCGTCGAGAGACAAGCAGCACCCCAACCTCATCAACTTCGTCACCGCATTCCTCAATCTCCACAAACTCGTATCTCCTCAACTCCCTCTCAGTGCCTCCGGTAACCACACCAAATCTATAGACGCCACTGACTTGCTCTTGCCATTATGTTATTATGTGCATCTATATGTGTATAACCTGATCAAGTGGACTCCAGGACTTCATCTTCAATAATGGGGGCTTGTCTGTTGCTTTTGTCTTTGAGACGAGTTGGGATTCAGAAAGGGAAAGTTGTTGCCTTCAGCAGGTGAGACTCTTCCCTCTCATGTTTGTTATAGCTGTATTTATTCTGATGGTGATGCCAGTGTTGGGATGCTTTTGCAGGGTGCATACGCTCAAGAGGCACTTCAAAGTTCAAACATCTCTATGTTGTTGTTGTCCTTTCCACAGGAGAGCAAAATGACACATTCAATCAATCATATTTCAAGAATGCACATGCTATAATGCTAAGTGTGAAGTATATTTATTCTAGCTTGAGTCATCCCTATGCATATTGTACTGTTCTTAATCAAGGTATGGAATGGAGCTTGGCCGTCCTACATTTGTGACTGTTCGTGATCCAGAGATGGGATTGGAGAAGATTGTAAAGATAGCTCATGCTCGTGGAGGTAAATCTCTAGCTTCATTTACCAAGCTCCTTACTCCTGTTCAAGCTCTAAAGCACAAGCTGACGTTGATCACATGCCTATTTTTGTTTAGTATGCAAGCAGCAAGATATGATCACAACCATGAAGAATGAGGTAATTTCATATATTCCCAGATATATGGGCATACTATTTGTGGGTCTAAAATGATTCTCTCACTTGCCCTTGTAGTGGGAGCAAGCTGTTCAGTGCATGGATGCATTTTTACGAGTGGTCACCTCGATCTATTCCTGGTATTGATAGTCACGATGCAAATGCGGTATGTGCTGAATTGTTTTACTTTTTTTCTGTAACTCTATGATATCTTGGTTACTGACTACTGAGATAAGAATAGTAGGAGGTTAGTTCTGACTTCTTTGCAATTTTTGTCTCCGGGGACAATAATTCACACGATTCACATTGTTTTCGTCAAGAAGTATCATCATTTCCCTGTCGTCTGCACTAAGATTTTTGAAAATAGTACGTGCAATCTGTATAATATTCAGGGAAGATCCGTGCTTAATAAACATATTTTGGAACTTTGCATGCAAGATGATTGACTTTGTGCACCTCTTCAAGAATAAGGATGTAGCATGTGATATATTTGCACATTGACTTTTGCCGAATACCTGGTGCACCCATCCATTTAGCCTCTCTAGTGGTTATATAATTATGTACTCAAATTTCACACTACACAACAATTGTCTGTTCTCTATTCAAATTTTCTTTGTGTTTGTGTCCGATTGTGTGCTGATTGAAACTGATGCTACTCCTTACTGTTTTTTCAAGCTTGCCCAAGCTATTGGTTTAATCGAGGCAATTGCCAAAGGCATCCAAGGTACTAGAACCCTGCTTATAATGTTAATCTCATGAGATATCTAGTGTTTTTTATATATCTAGCTAACCATAGTGCTAAGGATAGACTTAAAAGTGCAACTCCGATTGG